TTTTTTCATCAATACTTTTAACTCAACCAGTTAAAGTAAAATATTCTTCTTTATTTTATTTTCATGTATAAATATCTACGAAATCAATTTTCTATTAGGTTGTACTATTCGCAATATTTTTTGCATTAATTATTCGTAAAGATGAAGATATTGTAATTGATAAAGATGAAGATGATATATTTCTTGATGGGGATGAAGAATATTTACATGCATTTGATGATCAATCTTTATTAACATTTCGATCAAAATCTGGACATATACCATTATCAGAAGGTGAAATAGCCTATGCAAGACAAAAACGTTTGAATGAAATTAAAATGTGGGAAATCATAAAAGAAATACTTGCATATGGATCATTTTTATGGATGCTTTATCTTGTTAGTTATTCAAATCGAGATCCAAATTCATTTTATCTTATGCAACATTTACAATCAGATTTTCTTAATGTAAATAGTGCAACTGAAGATTTTACACAGGTAAATAGATTTTAATTCTTTATTATGTCATTTATATATATATATATATTTCTTCTATATTAGATTACTCGTATGACTGAATACTGGGAATGGTTAGATAATGTATTTGTAAACAAAATTCGTGCTTCTACATGGTATAATGGTGATCCACCAGCTAATCTAGCTGGTAAATAAATCATTTGTATTATATCGTTTCGTATATCTTGAATATTTTTACAGGTTTTATTGCCGATCGAACAAATCGTGTACTTGGTTGGGCATCAATACGTCAACTACGTGTTAAAACTGGTATGTACATATCAACTTCTTTTCTTATTTAAATAATTCGATTGAAAATTTCTCTTAGATTCATGTACAATTATGTCAGCATTTAAAAATCTGTTTTCGTCTTGCGAAGCTGGATATAATGTGTTCAATGAAGATACACATTCATATTATCCTGGTTGGACATCTCTATATAATTCAACTGTTGGTCCACTTTCAAATTATTCAACAAAAATAAGTAATGCATTTATGTACAATAAAAGTGATACACTTGGTACATATTCATATGCTGGTGAACATGCAACATATAGTGGAGGTGGTTATGTATATGAATTTCGTGGAAAAATGAGTGATATTGTATCAAATTTATCAGCATTAAGAGAATTATCATGGATTGATGTACAGACAAGAGCTGTTATAATACAAATGAGTCTTTATAATCCAAATGTAAATTTATTTACACTTATTACTATTCTTGCCGAATTTTTACCAACAGGTGGTGTTTATACATCAGCACGTTTCGAACCAATAACATTATTAAGCTCATTTGAAGGTATAAATGATCATTATTATTAATAATAATTAACTATAATCGAAATTTATTTAGGTTTTGCTTTATTTAAATTAATTTGTTCAATTGCTTATATGGGATTTATAATCTATTATATGCAAAGAGAAATTCGTTCATTATTAAAACAACGTATGGCATACTTTCGTGACTTTTGGTCATATGTAGAAGTTGGTATAATTGCATGCTCATGGGCTGGTTTAGGTATTTATGTATGGCGTATACATGAGGGTAATCGTGTTGGTGAATTATTCAAAGAAACAAAAGGTTATACGTTCATTAGTTTACAAATGGCAACATATGTCGATGATAGTTTAACATTCCTATTAGGATTTTGTTGCTTCTTTGGTACAATTAAATTTCTTCGATTATTAAGATTTAATCGTAGTTTATCAACATTATCTGGAACATTAAGTTATGCATTAAAAGATTTAATAGCATTTTCGGCTATGTTTGCAATAATTTTTATAAGCTTTTTAACATTATTCTATCTTTTATTGTCTTCAAAAATTATGGAATGTTCAGATCCAATAAGAGCTGCACAAATGTTATTTGAAATGATGTTATTAAAATTTGATGTATCAGGTTTACTTGCTGCTGATCCTTTTCTTGGACCATTCATTTTTGTATTATTCATTATATTTGTTGTTTTTATTTGTATGACTATGGTATGTATTAAAAGAAGAAGAAAAATGATAAAACTTCGTTTTTTTGTTTTAGTTTATTGCAATTATAGCTGATTCATTCCGAGTTGTTCGAGAAAATGTTGCATTACAAGGTAATGAATATGAAATTGTTGGCTTTATGATAAATCAATTCAAGAAAGTGACAGGTAAAGAAAAGAATATTTCAAAAAAATAATTTTATTTATTGATTTTTTTTTCTCTTTAGGCTTGGGTACAACTCAAGAAGCGGATCGTTTACATTTGAATCCATATGATGGTAGTAAAGTTCATTATCATGATCCAATCACATCATTTCCTGATAAGATGGATGAATTAATAGTTGCATTAAATAAAGTAAAAAAAACATAGATTCCTTTGAATTAATCCGATTTTTATTTAAAATATTAATTAGATCTATATGGATACAAAACGTAATGATACATTTACACTTCGTCCAAACGAGAATAATAATCCATTGGAGACAGATAGAAGTCAAGATGGCGTATCAAAAAAGAAGAATAAAAAAATGATTTGAACAATTTAATATTTTGATGTTGTCTGTATGTCTTTGCTTATATATTATTATTACTATTGTTGTTGTTGTAATCGTCATTTTTTGTGTCGTATATCAAAATTAACCATAGTATATTAATCTCGAGTGACAAATAAATTATATATTCTAAAGAAGATTTGGCTTTTTTTTGCGTGTGTATGTATAAATATTCAAAAAATAAAACTTTTAATGTTGTACTATGTAATTGAACTTATGTTTGGTATACTTATTATATTAATCTCTATTGTATGCCTTTCATTTGTAATTGTAATTACAGACACCATTCAAACAAAACAAAAAAATGTCTTGAATTTCATAGAGTAGTACTTTGACACAATTTCACTAATTTCTAACCTATTTCGACATGATGTAGAGCGACTACTGTTACTTATTATAAACCATCATACAAATATTAGCATACTATTGGAAAAGGTCATTTATAGGCTAAACAATCAAAGAGTTTGTCAAATAACTGTTTTTCACATTGGCGTAGGTTAACCGTCATTACTACTACATCCGACCATACAGAATAAAAGCTGTACAATAAAATCGTGAGAGAGGTAATGAGTTTATCAATGTAATCCAAATGCAGAACTTTTAAAATCTACTAGTATTAATCATACATCTGTTATTGAATTGATTGTCAAACTAAGAGTCGATAATTATATAGAAAACTTTTGTCTCCAGTTACAAGTAATATTTATAATTATTGCACTTTTTTTTCTTAAAAAAAAATAGAATGCTTTCAATTAAATAATCGACATTTTTAGAAAATTAAAAAACAATTCTCTCTCTCTCTCTAAACAACATTGGCATATTTCTTTTACTAATGTCGATCTAAAAACACTTCTCAATTGTATAATAATATTAGTATTAGTATAGTGAAAAAATGATTGATCGAAGATCGTTTATAATACAACTATTTGTTTAATACAATAAATGTATATCATCTCGTGTAGACAGCTCATAGAATTGACTATTGTTACGCAGAAAGATTCTCTGATAAATAAGTGAAACATATATTAAATGAGAAAGGCATTATTTTCTCATTCTCTAAAGAGTTTTATAATAAAATAAATATGATATATTTCTTCTCACGGAAGTAAGTGAAACACCTAGTTTTTGACAGTTAATTATCTAAAAAAACAGGATCTATAATGACAGTATCCTTGAATTGCAACAGTTTATTAAAGAACAAGTCAGTATATTCTATGTGTCTTTCTATATCCCGTTTTTTATAATTGACTTCGTTCTATTAGAAAAATAGAATATATCAAAAATATGCAGCATGAAAAGGCCTACAACTTACAAACAAAAAATGATAAAAAGAAGAAATAACAAAAAAATGAATTGATATTTTACTAAAATAACAGATCATTTTCGCATGGTCGAAATTTAATCAATCAAACGTTTTATCCATTTTAAAAACAGAAAGTGCAACTAGAAAATAGATGGTCTAACGTAAATTGTAGAGCTTTCCACGCTGCATCTTTTGATAACAAACAAGTGTTTCATTTAAATGGATAATAGAAGAAAAATATCAGAAAGACAAAGAGTTTAATTTATTCTAGGACACCCGTTATATTATAATTTACTAGATGGATGTGAGTGTTTATCATTTCATAATCCACCCTCAAGTATGAAGTGCATCGTAAAAAACCTTATAGGTTTTCAAAGGAATGGAATATATTATAAATAGAAAAAGAAATCTTGTTGTTCATAAAACCTATTATTGAATAGAAAGAATCTTTTTTTCTGTATGAAAAGTCAGAAATTGATTTAATTTTGAAAAATAACTTTGAAATTGCATATTACTTTTAACTTGCAATTGTGATTAAATTATTGTTTAATGCAAAAGAGTTTGAAGGTATTAACTATGAAGTCATGACTCGATTTTGTAAATAATCAATAATGAGAAGACATGTCGTCATATTCACTTTTTTTAGTATGTAATTTAGTTCAATATTTCGACAAAAAATATATATGTTATTCATCTATATATGTAGCTTTATATATAAAAATATAAAATACAAACGACTTTGACAACTTTTAAGTCTATGGCTAGGAACAGAAGATAAAGTTTATTAATTATAATAATTATATTAGTAATTACTTTTCGATTTTCTTGTTTATGTTAAATCAAATAACAGTTGAAATAATGTATTAGATGAGTTTATCTTACCCATTTAAATTATAAAAGAAAATAGTAAACTCGATGAGCTCTACTAATTGTATAAACTTTATCAGAATCTGAATAATCATTGAAACTACAATTCAGTCAGTTAACTCAATATTCACCCTCATGGTTGCGATTGAAACAGCTAAGTTTAGTTTTTTGTCTATCCCTTTACTCTTTATTAGTGCATTTGCTTTTCAAAACAAAATATTGCAACTCTTCATTAAATGAATGAATTTTAATAATTTAAAATTAAAAAATCTAAAGTATTATAATAAAATAAAACTGCATACTATTTACTAATTCAATCGATTTAGAAGACCTTCTAAAAATGAAGTAAAATAAGGGAACCGGAACGTTCAGCACCGGAATTTTCAGTACGGAATGTTAAGCACACGAATGATCAGCACAGTAATTATTCAGCACATCAAAACATCAACACCAAGAAAAATTAGAATCTTGAGGGTGGGTGCAGGTTTGGGTGTAGATGTGGGTGGGCATCAGCAGTGTATTGTAATCGCGCATCTACTCCCACAATCACACCCAAACCTACATGAACACCTACACTCCCACCCAACCACCCACATCTACACCCATACCCACACCCACCCTCAAGATTCTAATTTTTCTTGGTGCTGATATTTTTATGTGCTAAATGATTACTGTGCTGAACATTCCGTGCTGAAAAGTCCGTGCTGAAAATTCCGGTGCTGAACGTTCACCAATCCCATTTATACTCATACGTATATATGTGTATTACCTTATTAGCCGGCTTTGTCCATTACGTTTTTATTATTTACAGAGTTGTTTTCCGTACGCGCGTGCGGGTCACTATAACTAGAATTAATTTCAAAATAAGTGAATAAAAGATTCTTTTGTTTATTTATCAACTATTCTTTTTCATGTCTTCTTTTACAGTTTCAATACCGTCTTTTACATTTTGAATATCAGGATGAGTTGGAGGGAATTCACGTTGCCTGATGTCTAGAGCACGTTCAAAATATGACAATGCTTTTGAATAGTCTTTCATATTGTAATACACACAAGCGATGTTGCTGTGTGAAGAAGCCAAAGCAGGATGATTTGAAGGAAGAGCTTTTTCTCGAATTTCAAGTGATTGTTCGTAATACCAAATAGACTTTTCATAATCACCATGATTCCAATGAATAAATCCCAACTGATTATAATAAAGCGCTTTTTCGCTCTCATCAGATATCTGTTCGAGTAATACGTTATAAAGTTCTTCAGCTTTATTAAATTAATTTGTATTGCTTTTTCTAAAGATTATTACTATTTATATACTGCAAAGAAGATAAACGAAAATGAATGATAGACTTAGTAATATGATTTGACTAATATTAAGTAACTTAGTTATAATTAGTAATTGAAATCAACAATTTAATATTGATAACAGTTATTTATTGTTTCTAACGAAGAATTTAATCCCGAATTAGCAAGAGGTTCTAATGAATCAGATGAATAACTAAAAAATAAATCACCAGTGTTCTTTCAAGCATTGGTTAATTAACTAAAGAGCTAGGAAATTAACAGACACATATAACACTAGTGATTTAGCTTTACCATTAAAATATCTATCGAGAATAACATCTTCG